GTGTCCTGTAAACACCCCACGGCGGCTCCAATCCACACGGTGGTAGGGCTGCCCGGCGGGTCAGACACCCAGATGTGGATTGGGGAAAGGGCCATGTTTTCCCCATTGTCTGCAGAGAGAGAGGGTCCCTTAGATCTCATTTAGCACGTTGTTAAATGAGATATTCTATTTATTTATTTATTTTCACCCCCACCTCCCCTTTTACTTCATTTTAAATTTTTTTTTTTCCGCCGAAAGGCAGTCGAACGAGTTTGTTTAGAAAGTGGTTTTTCGGCTCCGGAGGCTTTCGCGAGGGAGAAAACTTGTAGCTTTGTAACAAAGTGGAGCGAGGATTTATTAGTTGCTGCCTTCCCCCCTCCTTCCCCCTTTTAATAGGAAACATTGCCTTAAAATTCCGCGGGTTTCCAGGCGTTTTGCCCTCGCTCCTGCACTTTTGCGTTTCCCCTGGATGGCTCCAGTGAGGAATAAGCCAAAGGAAAGAGGGGAAAAAAAGGAGAAAAAAAAAAAGAGATAGAAACGAGGGGGGGAAAGATAAGAAGGAAGCGTTGGGCTCTGTGGTGTGAATTAGAGCATCGCAAATTGTGCCGGGGGGTGGTGATGGTGGGGAGGGGATGGGGGGAGAACGGTGTGGCCACCGGTTTTGCCAAAAGCCGGCGGCCCCGGGGGATGCTCGGTGGCCCCGGCAGCGCATCGCTGCCCCGGCGCCGGTGCGGGGCTCGGTAGAGGAGAAGGCGAACCTATATATGTGTATATATGTGCGTACACGGTTTTTATGTGTGTGTATATATATCTATGCATATACGGACACGCTGGGCTGTTGCCCTGAGAGCTTGCGAAGGGCTGCGGTGGCCGGTTCCTGACTAATTCCAGTCTCGCATCTCCCTCCTTTCCCTCCCCCCCCCCCCTCCCGCCTTTCCAAAGGTTTGGTTCAAGAACCGCCGAGCCAAATGGAGAAAGAGAGAGAGGAACCAGCAAGCCGAGCTTTGCAAAAACGGCTTCGGCCCCCAGTTTAACGGCCTCATGCAGCCCTACGATGACATGTACCCCGGCTACTCCTACAACAACTGGGCGGCCAAGGGCCTGACCTCCGCTTCCCTCTCCACCAAAAGCTTCCCTTTCTTCAACTCCATGAACGTCAACCCCCTGTCTTCTCAGAGCATGTTCTCCCCTCCCAACTCCATCTCCTCCATGAGTATGTCTTCGAGCATGGTCCCCTCCGCCGTCACCGGGGTCCCCGGCTCCAGCCTCAACAGCCTGAATAACTTGAACAACTTGAGCAACCCTTCCCTGAATTCTGCGGTGCCCACGCCGGCCTGTCCTTACGCCCCTCCGACACCTCCTTACGTTTATAGGGACACGTGTAACTCCAGTTTGGCCAGTCTGAGACTTAAAGCCAAGCAGCACTCCAGTTTTGGCTACGCCAGCGTGCAGAACCCCGCTTCCAACCTGAGCGCTTGCCAGTACGCGGTGGACAGACCCGTGTGAGAAGACCCCCCCCCAGTAAGGAAACACTGCATGGGAAGCCCTCCCCGTGGTCCCCGCAGAGACTTGAGAATGACACTAGAAAGTAATGGGCACTAGAGAGAAAGAGAGAGGAGGAAAAATCAAGAGAGAGAGAGAGAAAGAGGAAAAGAGAAAGAGAGAGAGAGAGAGGAGGAAAAAAAAAAAAAAGAGGAAACCACTGAAATAAGATAGTTCCTTTGTTTTCAAAGGACCTCCTACAGATTCGGAGATCTTTCTTTCACTAAGAGTATTTCAGCAGTTACAAGGACATATATATATATATATGGACAAATGTTTGACTGGATATGATATGACATTTTAATGTTACTATAAGCTTGTTATTTTTTAAGTTTAGCATTGTTTAACATAAAAATGACTGAAAGGATGTATATATATTGAAATGTCAAATTAATTTTATAAAAGCAGTTGTTAGTAATATCACAACAGTGTTTTTAAAAAGGTTAGGCTTTAAAATAAAGCATGTTACACAGAAGCGATTAGGATTTTTTCGCTTGCGAGCAAGGGAATGTATATACTAAATGCGACACTGTATGTTTCTAACATATAATTATTAAAAAAAAAAGACCCCATTGTGTGAATATCAGTTTTAGAATAGTACCTCTGGTGGATGCAATGATGTTTCTGATATTGCAATGTAAAACATGCCCTGTGTATAACATTTCGTACAATATTATTGTTTTACTTTTCAGCAAACATGAAAACAAACAAAAAAAAATGTGTTTTATTTCATGGGAGTAAAATATACAGCATACAGTTTTGTCTGGATTTTTATTTACCGAGCCAAAGCTGCGCAGCGGTAACTGCTCTGCGGTGATTGACTGAGCGTCGACACTGGATCTCGTTCTCTGGAAATACAGGGCAGTACTTTTTTTATTGCAATACAAATAAATACCGGCATTTTTTCACTTAAAAGAAAAAAAAAAAAAATTAAAAATTCCCTGCATGGCTAGAGAAACGCGGGGCTCGGACCGGCTGCCTTGGGGGCGGCGGGATCGCCTTGATTCCCCAGAAAAATGGATTATTTGACATCCTTGGCCTCGAGAATTACCAGCCACAAAGTCGCTGTATCTCGAGCATAAATTTCTCCCGCTGTGAAGGAAGCTTTTATTAGATTAAAGAAGAAGAAGGGGGGTGGGAAAAAAGAAAGAAAAAAAAAAAGCCAGTTTGCAAACAAACTGCTCCTGCTCACCTT